GCAGGTCGCTCTACCCTCTCCTTCGAGGTGAGGGGTTGGGGTCACACCAGTGGTGCTCAGGGATGACTCCAGGCTCCACACACAGGGGCACCATATGGGATGCCAGGGATCGCACCCAGGTCAGCCGCGTGTGAGGCCAGCGTCCTCCCCACGGTGCTGTTGCTCCAGCCCCAACCTCTTGTTCTTTAACGGCAGTGAGACATTGGGGTGAGGGTGTGTGCCCCAGGATTCTCTCTCCGACTGCCGTCCCCTTAGCAGTGAGTTCAGTGCCGCATACATCATCCTGGGAGAGGCCCATGTTAGTGACCCACCAAGAAAAGAGCCACGTGTGAACACAGGCATCCATGATTCTGTGTCACAAACCGTGTTGTTGTTTGTGGGGACACAAGCCTGGCTTTCCGTGTTTCCTTCACGGAAAACAGACTCTCCCCAGCCCGGCCGCCTGCCTGGCGCTCCCCGCGCAGCGAGCTCCGAGTCCTGCTCAGGAATTCCTGTCATTAACACTTTATTAAGTTAGAGTTGGGTAAGTTGTTTTCTTGTGTGTAAGGAAATTTAAGAATCCATTCCTCCGTAGTTAAAAATAAAAAGGAACTTCGTACACATATGCCAAATGTTAAGCATAGATAATTAGCTTGTGGTTGGAATTTGATTGTTTTGTTATTCAGCAAAACAGAACCGTGTCCTATGCCTTTCGGCCCCACGACTTCCGACCGAGACCAGTCGGCCCGCGGGCTTCTGAGCTCTGCCTGTCCCAGATCATTTTCTCGAGATCCCAAAGACAAGATAGTGGCTAATTACTTATCGGGGGTACTTCCGTCTCAGCCAGGGCCAGTGTCACGGTTACCCAGCAGAGCCCAGCCTCAAGGTCAGCCCGATTCCACAAACCCCCTGGTGGAGAAACGCTGCCGGGCACCCGGCAGACCAGAGGAGCAGCCAACTGAACCTCTCGCACACTCGCTCAGGAGGTCCTGGGGCTGCCGGACGCAGAGCTGAGACGCAGCACATGAGGGGCCAGTGCACGCACTTCCGGGGCCCATAGGTCCCCCGGGAGTTGGACGGAGCCAAGACGGCGGGGATGGGGAGGGGGGGCAGTGGCCACCGGGTGCAGATTCCAGCCCTGCTTCCCGCCAGCATTCAGAGGCAGACCTCAGACTCTGGGAAGGCCAGAGTGTGTGTGTGTGTGAGTGTATGAGTGTGTGTGTGTCTGAGAGATGTGGATGTAGGGGGTGTGTTTGTGTATAGGACTTCTGTATGAATGTGAATGCTGTGTGTGTTTGTGTGTCTGTGTGCGAGTGAGTATATTTGGGTGTATGAGTGTGAGTGGTATGTGTGTGCGTGAGAGATTCTGTATTTGAGTCTGTTCGTGTGTGTGTGTGTGTGTGATATGAGTGCAGAAGTGGTATGTGTGGTGTGAGTATGTGAGAATGATTGAGCGTATGTGTGTGAATTTGTTGGGTGAATGTGACGACGAGTGTCTGAATAGTGTGAGTGTGCGCAAGTGTGTCTGAGTATATGTTGTGGGTGTGCTAGGGGGCAGCCTGAGTGTCTGCGTGAGTGTAGGTGTGTAGCAATCAGGACACACGGGCAGTGGGCTTTTCCCCACCCCCTCTGACACACCTGGGCACACGCCCGCCTGCGGCGAGTGTTTGCTGAGGGAATGTTTGTGCTTCAGTGACTGAACCATGCGCCCAGGGGTCGGCTCTTGACGTCAACAGACCAGGGAAGAGCCCGCACCAGAGCCACATGCCCGAGCAACCACTGCCACGCCAGTGATTCTCTGGCAGGAGAGTTCGAGAAAACTCTAGAATTTTCTGGCAGAACAAATCTCCCTGCCTGGCCCGCCGGGGTGAGGGGGAGCATGAAAGATGCGGGTGCGCACAGCTCGTGCGGCTTACTTTCCCTTCTCCCACTTTCATTTAGCTTATTTTCCATTTTGAAGAAAGTCAGTGAATTACCAGGCCGGTCAGACGCTGGCCAGGGCTCTGCTAGAGAGCACTGTCTGGGGGCAGTATTCGTGGGTGCTTGAGCGCCTATCTGCTCAGAGTCCTGCTGCGTCCTTCACGTGACCCAGATCTGGGGCTCCCCCTGGGACTGCCACTGTCGGCCCACCTGGCTCCTGAGGGCCCGAATACGGAGCAGTGGGGCAGGTGCTAGCCTTGAGCACAATCATCCCAGGCTCTGTCCCCAGCACCCTAGATGGCCCCCGAGCACTGGTCAGCCTTTCTGGGCTGACGGCCACATGGCCTCTGCCGAGATCCCCGTGGGTCCTCTTCCCCTCCCGTCAGCACCAAGGGCCGGAGACAGAAGCAAGAGCCCAGAGGAGGTGTTCTGGGGGCCTACGACAGCGCCATCGTGATGCGGACATGGGACACGGCACCACGGCCAAACAGACCTGGGCCCAGGGCCGAGCATCGTCCTCCCACAGCCCAAGATGTGGGGCCCGAGCCTCTGGTCTTGAGGAGCGGCTGCCGAGGCCCTGCGGGGTAAGGACTGCCCGAGATGGCACACGTGGCACTGGGCACACACGTGGGCAGCCCCGGGCCTCTTGTCCTCTAGCACCTGTGTCCCCCTGGACAGAAATGTGAGGCTTTGCAGCCACCCTGGTGCTCTAGGGCCATGTAGTGACCGGGATGGAGCTGGCCTCCCTCAAGTCACACCCGGACTCTCTCGAACCCCGGCTCCCTCCGGAAGGCCTGCGCCTGCCGCCTGCCCACGTGCAGAAACGGGGCGGCTGTCAGCTCCCCGGCCGCCAGCCCCAGCCCCCGCCTGCCCTGGAGAGAAACAGCGGCGGGGGCAGAGGAAATGTTTACATCCACCTCATAGGGCTCGCTGCAGTTTTCAAAACACCGAGTGCGGGCACAATGGGCCGCGGTTGTTTATGCCGCGGCATTCCTGTGTGAAAGAGCTGCCGCGTGCTTCCTCCCCTGCTTCCGCTGGCCAGAGGACCCCAGCCTGCAGACTCGGGGTCACGGGCCGCGTGGGTGGCGATGCTGGCCGGCCCGGGCATGTGTGCCAGCTGCTTCCCTCGACTGTTTGCCCCAACGGCTCAGGGTCTCCTCCCTCTCCTCCGCTCTCTGCCCCTGCCCTGGTATTCTCTCTCCCTCCTCTCTCTCTCTCTCCCTCCTCTCTCTCCTCTCTCCCTCTCTCCCCATCTATCTCTCCTCTCCCTCTCTTCCTCCTCTCTTCCTCTCTCCCCTCTCCCTCCTCTCTCCCCACTCTCTTCTCTCTCTCCCTCCTCTCTCCTCTCCTCTCCCTCTCTCCCCTCTCCCTCTCTTTTCTGTCTCTCTCTCTCCCTCTCCCCTTCTCCCCCTTCTCCCAGCCTCTTTCCACACACCCCAGCACACACTGCCCAGTTCTCCCCAGCATTCTTGGTGCTGATTGGAGAGAGTGGCAAGGAAATCAAGGGAACTTTTCAAACCCCCGCCGCCGCTCTCCAGAAAGGGAGGGGCAGAGGAGCCGCGTGGTGCTTTCTCAGTGCCCTGACAGGGCCAGGCCAGCTCTCTGTTTATTAGCCCAGGTGACAAAACAGCCACAGAGACCCCAGCTTGGGGGGGGGGGGCATCAGTCCTGCCTCAGCTCCCGCCTCCTCGCCCAGCTTGAGGTCTTGAGGTGGGCTGCCGCCTCCAGGGGGCTCAGGTGCGCTGGGGAGCAGGTGCAGGTGCTGGCGGCGAGATCAACAGTCGTGTCGAGGTCTGGGGGGCCGTTTAGCTAACTGAGCTCAAGAAGGAATTTGGAAATTCCATTGTGCTACTGTTCAAATATTTACTCGCTGAACCTGGAGCGGAAAAAACTAGGGTCACCTCATGTAGAATTCCTTGCCCTTTTCCTTGAAACAGCATTTCAAGAACCCCGGAGAAGGGGGGTGTTTATCTAAGGAAGAAATATGAGCTCTGCTTATGGAGTCTCCCGCCGGCTTCATCAAGCAAAGGCAATTTAGCAACCTCTGCATTTGGCAAAACATTCTTTCATGAGTCCTGACTGTTTGAAAGGGCGACTTACCCGCCGGGCAGATTGGAAAGTGTCCTCAGGACCTTGCGTGGTTCGCGCTCACATACACACACACACACACACACACACACACACACACACACACACACACATGCGTGCACACGTGCACATACACACGTACACACACACCTGTCAGCGTAGACAGGGTGACTCGGCGCGGGCCTTAGTGTAAAGAGAGCAGGTGGGTGCCCCGAGGGAGCAAAGATTTGGGTGCCATGCAGACCTGTCGCCACCTGCGTCTGGCTGTCACTGTCCCAGCAGGGCTGCAGGGCTGGGACATGAGTGCCTAGAGACCAGGGTTCGGGGGGAGCCAGGGGAGCGTTTCTAAGCTGCATCCCCAGCCCCGTCAGAAGCTCGCCTGCCGGCTCTCCCCTCTCGGTCCCAGGGTCCCAGTCTCAGCTGGGATGCACCCGCTGCCCCCCATAGCACCCACTGCCTCCACGGCTGCCTCCCAGGCTAGCGGGTTCCTGAGAAGCGTGGGCTACTCTGAGACTGAGCAGGCGGAGGGTCCGGACCGGGCAGGGCTTATGGTGGCTGCTCAGCTTTATGTGGGGAAAGTGCCGAGTGAGGGGGGCGTGGGACGGGGCATCCCCACGGCGGTGGAGCGGGACGTGAAACCACGGGAGAAGCAGGGACACTGACAGGGCCCGTCCGAGCAACTCCCAACTCCCGCTGTCCCGGTGCGGGGGGCAGCGCAGCCAGGAGGGGCAGCAAGCCCAGAGCTCTGGGCTCTACCCCGGAAGAGCGCCGACCCTCCGACCCCGCCAGCCGCTCCCCCGCGGCTCTGAGAAAGCCGCGCACGCACAGGAGAGTGGTTTCGAGTCCTCCCTCTGCCCCAGCAGTAAATTCAGGAACTTGGGATGCCGTGGAGCCCGAGCGGGGGAGGGGGCGGTCTGTCCTGCCCCGTGTCTGCCGGCCACTGCCCTCCCTGCCCGCAGCTTCCCGGCTCTCCCCCCACCCCGGGCGGCTGCGCGCCCGCCGGCTGGCCCTACCTTCATCAGCCACTGCGTGTTGTTCTCCATGATGTTCTCCAGCACTTGCAGCCGCTGCGCCGAGTCGTCGTAGTCAAGCGGCGCGTCCCTCTGGACGGCGTTGGACACGTAGGCGCTGGACGCTGAGCGGCAGTTGTCCACCTCGGGCAGGAGGAAGGTGTAGCTGCAGGCGCCGTGCTGCACCTGGTGCTGCCGCCGGCCCGCGCTCTCCACGCCCCGGCGGAGGCTGCTGTAGGCTGCGGCTGCCGCCAGCTCACAGCCCAGCGCCAGGGCCAGGAGCTGCCACATTCTCCCTCCTGGCTCCGGGGACGCCCCGTCCGTCCGTCCTAAGCCGAGCCCTCAAGCCCCGGGCTCTGCGGCCGCCGCCTCAGGTCCATCAATGAGACTCCCCCTCTGCCCTCCTCCTCTTCCTCCTCCTCCTCCTCTTCCTCCTCCTCCTCCTCCTCCTCCTCCTCGATGGGCTCCACGGTCCGGAGGCTGCCGTCTGCTGCCTGCCGGGGAGGCTGTGCCGGCCCCGCTGCTCCGCCTGCCAGCAGGGTCCGAATCAATCACTCTCGCTCCTTATATGATAAGTCGATAAGTGCAGCCAGGGGCTCCGCCCTCGGGGCTGGTCCGTTATCTTCCTGCGGGGGGTCACTGGCCAGGAAATCTGGGCGCCTGCCTGTGTGCGCGTCCAGCCGAGCCGGGAGCCGCAAGCCAAGCTGGGGGGGGAAAGCCCCTCGGTGTTCCCCGGGGCCCCAGGTCTGTCGCGGCAGCTCCCCGCTCCCCCACGGATGGTTCCTCGAGAGAGAGGCGCGGCTGGTCGCCTTTGTCTGGAGGATTCCAGTGCTCGGCAGGCAGGCGATGCGACCGACCAGCCGATAAATAGCTGCAACTCGCAAGCACAATGAAAGTTCCTGTTTTTTCCTCTAGGAATAAAAACACTACAAATATGTCAGGACTCGGGTTTATTTTTGTTATTGCGGAGAGGAAGACTTTTTGCTCTTGTAAACTCTGCCTTTTTGTGGGGAAAATACTTCCCGAGTAAAGTGAATGGGGCGGGGGTGGGGTGGGGTGGGGTGGGGTGGGGTGCTGAGAGGAGGTTTTCTCTCTTAAAACAGTCTCGTGGGAACCCCCAGCTGTGTTCAGTCGGCGGGCTTTGGTGGGGACTCCTCAGAGAGCCCCCTCCGTGTTCAGGGTCTGCCACAGCGTGCCCCCCAACCCTCCCCCTCCCCGCGAAGTGCCGCATCTGCCTAGGTCCCCTCAGCCTGCCGCCCTCTCCCTCGCAGCTCGCCTGGCCCAGGGCTTGCTGTGGCTCCCGAGACTTTATAACTCAGGCTCATCCCTTCCTCCGCTCCCTAAATGGGAGAAGCCCTGCAGCACTGCTTGGAGTTCAGCTCCAGTGCGTGTGCATGTGTGTGCTGCATGCGTGTGTGCAGTGTGTGCGTGTGCATGCATGTAGTGTATGCATCTATGTGCTGTATGCATGCGTGTAGTGTGTGTGCATGTGGCGCATGCATGCATGTGGCGTGTGCTGTCAGCTGTCGTGTACACAAGCAGGTATGCACATGGCGTGTATGCCCTGAGGGAGAGGGACTGCATTTCCACATGTGGCCTTGTCAGCATTGCCGTGGGGGCACAGCCATGCCCGCCCCCACCACCAGGCTAGGCCCTGGAGGGCATCTCCCAGAGGAACATCTCCCCCCCCACACACACACACCTCGCCCCCAGCACTGTACCGGGCAGAGACCCCTGACAGCTCTGCCCTGCTGCGAGGGAACTGGCCCACCCTCCCCTCCCCCGGTGCTCAGTCATGCTGACACTGGCCAGCGCGCTCCCCAAGGCAGCAGGGTCCGGACGGGCATCAGCCTGTGGGGGCCTCTGCTCGGGGACACGGGAGCACCCGCAGGACAGGGACCCCGCGGAGCAGCCGGGGGCTGTGCAGGGCCAACTGCTTAACCTCTGCTCTGTCCCTCTCGCCCCTGCCCTGTCCCTCTCTCTCACCCCTGTCCCGTCTCACTCACCCCTGCCCTGTCCCTCTCACCCCTGCCCTGTCCCTCTCTCTCTCACCCCTGCCCCGTCCCTCAGCACAGGCTCTTCGCTGCCAGCCTGAGACTTTGTGCCCTTTCCTGGGAGCACATGGAGCCCCATTAGCTGTTTGCCCCAGAGCAGAGGAGCCTCATCAGACAGGCCGGAAGGAGGAGCCGCTTCTGCCTTGAGGTCCCCTGCAGCCATGGATCTAAGTGTAGAGGCCAGAGTGGGTCCATGAGAGGCCCCAGGTAGGTGGCGCACCCAGCCGGGGCCAGGGAGTTGGGGTGCAGGCTGCTGGTCCATGCTGCGCCATGCTCACATTCATCCTGTGTGCATGTGTGTGCACGTGTGCTTGTGTCTGTGCACATTTGTGTGCACGTGTGTGCATGCACATGTGGGTGTGACATGTCATGTACGAGTGTGCATCTACATATATGCACATAAGTACATGTGTGTGCATCTATGATGTGTATATGAGTTTGTGCAAGTGGATGCACATGGGTGCATGTCTGGATGTGCATGTGTGTTTTATGTAAGTATACCTGGGTTTCAGTGTGCACTTTCTGGTCATGTGCACATGTGTGTGTGTGGACACCTGTGTCATCACCTGTGTGCACATGTGTCTGTGTGCTCATGTGTGTCTTTATCTGTGTGTGCACGGCTTAGTTTGCATGTGCATGTGTCCAGCTGGGTGCCTGGTGCAGGGGGCCCCTACAGACCTTGGGGGTGCAGGCCGCCTTCAGTCTCTGGCAAGCAGGAGGCTGCCCCCTCCCCCACCTCACATGCTAGAGCCCAGCCCCCATAGGGTCTGCACCAAATCTCACTGCCAGGCCCACTCTTGGCCCTTCCTGAGTGCCGTGGAGACAGAGGGTGTCGGTGGAGAGAAAGATGTGGGGTTTCAGAGAAGGACCAAAGGACCCGGGAGGACAGTGCCCCACACCCACCCCAGAGGGACCCACGGCCCCTTCCCCGCCCTGTTCAGTGTTTCCGTTCTGTAGCAGAGCTGCCCTCTGCAGCTGGACCAGCCGCCGGGATGCGCACAGGACCTCCCGGACAGGCTGAACTGCCCTTGTGTTGGGGAGGGCGCGGTGCTGGTGCCATTTCGAACAAGAAACATGAAACATTCCAGAGCTTCCTGCCTCTCTCCTGCCCCGCACAAGCCCGGCACCTGGAGGGAAGACCCTGTGTCCCTGTGTCCCCAGAAGACTAGCGGCGGGGGAGCCCGATGATTATTATGTGTTTGTTTTTTAGGATTTCATCATGAATTCCCAGAATTCTCAGAAATGTTTTACTTGATATACAGTAATTTCCCTGCTCCCCAAAGTTATCTCACGTGTTGTTTGATTGTTAAATATTTTCATCCTCTGATATTTGCAAAGAATATTTTATCTCCCCATCGGGGGAAAAAAATGCCCAAAAGGTCAAGATCCAAGTCACAGCTTTTAAAAGGCGGCGGATGAAAGGCTGAAACAATGGGCGGGGTGTCTGCTGACTGTGCCACCGCCGACCACTCTGGCCCTGTCCGCTCGGGCAGAAGCAGCTCCCAGGCCGCCTGTGCCGGGCCCTGCCCACTCCACCCTTGCCCCAGGCTCCCCTCCCCTCACTTGCAGCGGTTCCCCCCTCCAAGACCCTCCCCTTAGCACAGGTGTCTTTCCCTTCCCACCATCCCAGCAAGTGTTTGCGGGATCCGAGTCCCTAAGTTCAGACGCTCTGTTGCCTCTTGGGCGCCCTCGTGGGAGCAGCCATGAGTGTCATGTGTGCTGTCTGCACAGAGATGGGTTAGCGCTCAGGGCGGGGGCAAGCAGGAGTTAAAATGACCCGTCAGAGGGGAGAGAAGCCACCAGGCCCCCTTGGGGGGTTCCCATCCCGCGAAGCTGGTATGAAAAAAATCTTCCTGTGGGAAATCGGGCTCGATGTTGGAGTCACATGCCTAAAAAAAGGAGTTTCTGAAGAATTATATATCATTTTTGAAGAATGATCTTCGAATGCTGATAAATAGTTGGGCATAAAAGGAAGCGAGGTTTGCACCGCATGCAGGGCGCTCCAAGTCACCCACTCAGGGTGGAGTCTCTCCTCGACACCCGGACCTGCGGCTCCGGGGCCACGGCCCACGGGATTCGGAACCGTGCGGCCCAGGCATGGAACCCGGGGCTCCTGCTCACGGTTCCGCAGAGCCTTCTCTCCGCCCCATCGTTCCTTCTGACCCTCCCCCCCCCAACATCAAGCAGCGCCTGGTACCCCGCTACTAAGATAGCGCTAGGCGGAGAGATGGGGCAAAGGTTGAGATGCGCTTACCTTTCATGTGACCATCCTCTGTTTATTCCCCCGCAGACCAGCAGCAGTGATCTCTGAGCACAGAGCCGGGAGTCCACCCCGAGCACAGAGCCGGGAGTAATCTCTGAGCACAGAGCCAGGGGTAATCTCTGGGCACAGAGCTGGGAGTGAGCCCTGAGCACAGAGCCGGGAATCATCCCCGAGCGCAGAGCCAGGAGTGAGCTCTGAGCACAGAGCCGGGAGTAAACTCTGAGCACAGAGCCGGGAGTCAGTCCTAAGTACTGCTGGGTGGGTGTGGCCCAACCCACAGAGAGTAATAATCCAGTACTTCCCAGAAATGATTGTTTCAAGGAAAGGGTCTGAATTCAAAAAGCATCTGACCCAAAGGTCAGAAGGAAAGGGGAAACACTGTTCAGAAAGAAAATGAAAGGTAACTAGTTGAGCTACCTAGTTTGTTTTTCCAAGAAAAATGATTTCAGAGTCGGAGCAGTATTACAGCGGGGGCTGGAGGAGGTGCGTTTGCCTGGCGCCTAGCCCACCCGGGACCCCATGTGGTCCCCAGAACCCCCAAGAGTGAGCCCTGAGCGCATAGCCAGGAGGAAGCCCTGAGCATCGCTTGTGGGGCGCGCGCACACACACACACACACACACACACACACACACACACACACACACAATTCCGTGTTTTTTGAAAATCCCACAATGCTACTGTAGTAAAATAATACAGAAAAATATTTGCTTTTCTAAAATCTTCTAGTGTGTGGTTCAGTGACCTCCTAGGGGAGATCGTGAAGTCTTGCTTTCGGACAAGTGGGACCACCCGGAACAGCCGTGCCAGCCGGGCTGCACACAGACTTCCACCCTCCTGTGTTCCCTGCACCCTCGCTGCTCCGGTCCCCGTGTGCAGGAACCCCACATTCTGTGTCGGGTCACTCCTGGCGGTGCCTGGGGGACTGTGCAGGGTGCCGGGGATGGACTCGGCCAGCTCACGAAGGCATTGGCCCCGCCCCGCCCTGGCCCTCCCGTCCTTCACTCATGGCTTTAGCAGAAGAATCCCCGCTGGTGCAGCCTCAAGTGCTCATGTCCGCGGGCCACCCCCC